ATCTTCAAGCTACAATTTGAAGCAAATGAAGATATATTTCTTTGGAAAATCAAAATCTTCCAGACATCAACTCTTCAATTGCATAGGACTGGGCAGAGTAATTCAACACTGAACATTATATTTTACTTTTACCATGGAGTATAAAATTTTTGATTGGGCTTTCAACCTCTGGGGACAAGGGCAGGGGTGGAAGGGTAACTTCAAGTGAAAACTATTTATGTGAAATAGGACTTGTACATGCTAACATAATGTTAAATTGACCTTTTGTACATAATATTATACAGTTTGACTTACCAGTCATAAAACACAATATTTCTTTGTGATGTAGACGGCATCAGAAACAGCGATATTCTTGGTTTTGTAATTCATCTAGGCGTTTACCATATTGGATATCAATTTAACCCCTTAACCTCCCATGAGTGACCAAGACAGATTTTCTCCTAAAAACGTCAATATAGTATCAAGCAGAAAGTGATGAGAATAAAGAAAAATATCAATTAGAGGATTATTAGTTGATCCAATACCAAATTCTCCATACTGATGAGATCTTGGGAGTGCATGAAAGGGTTAACTTCAACTGTTGGCCATCCCCTCTATGTGTGATTGTACATTTATGTGTAACCTGGACTCCTAATAATAATGAAAAGAAATCACAGACAACACATCTGCATTAAAAAATATTTAATTTTTCACCAATCAGTTAACAGTCCATCAAAAATGGATAGCTACAAAGCAAACTGGAAAATTTCTCTTAATTAAAGACAGTATCACAGAAATTTGATACTCTATATCTATACTCATGAAATTCCACAACAGCAGATAACTGACAGATGTTCTGGTTGCTTAGGCTCCCATGCACTCCGCATTGATTGGCGACAAATGTCAACCCAATAAAAGATTCCAAAAAAGACTATCACTTTCTTTCCCCAAAAGTGTAGCGTCCAACTAAATAGAACAACAATTTTTGAATCATTCATCTAGGAGAGCTTTTGAGATATACCACTAACCTTCAAAAAGGCCTTTATACTACCTGAAAAGTGAGCAATTTAAGAATGAGATAAAAAACTATGAGGCACATTAGCAATCCATGGTAGCAGAAAATAATTTTTATGCCTATAATATTTTACATCACTGTAAGTAAAATTCAAAGGACTAAGTTATTACAACCACATTACATATAAAGGTCAGGTGTTATGATGTGGAGGTTAAATAAATCACTCAACTCATAAGTACACATGTACATTTGATATTTTTCCTTTCCAATTATCACCCACAATTGTTTTGACATAAGTTTGTCCAATTTCTGTGTACCTTAATACACAAGCTTTAATTGAAAAGGAATAACCAATGGTAAGAGTATTACCCAAGGATAAACATAAGAAACAAGAGTAAGCTTTCCATTTAAACAGATCAAGTCTAATTGATTATCCAATTTAAAATCAAACGATTGACACAATGATGAATTTTTGACACATAACAACTTTACCCAACATCAGAGTCCACAGAAAAAAGGTGTAGAAATTTCCAGTTCAGTTTAATTTTGCATAGTTAAAAAAACATTAATCCCAATTATTTTTGTGAAATACAATGCATGAGGTCCTTTTATGAAGAGCTGACAAAAAATGTTCAACATTTTTCCACAGATGAAAGGGGTGTTTCAGTCCAAATGTTTTCTTAAGTATGAAAAACCAAGAAAAACGTACTTGTCAACATACATACAGCTGTGAGGCTTCATAAAACAAGCTATGTTACACAAGCTTGTTCTTGGAGTCTCACAGAGATGTCTATTCTTTATGTTGTTGGAATACCAATTCAATTAAAATTGGGTTCTTATCAGTAAACTGCTCAGCTTCACATTGATTTCCACTCCCACAAAAAGTTCACACTTCACCCCAACAGGACCTCAAGCCTTTCAGAAACTTACTTTTGTAGTTACAATATATGATTTCAATAATGGCTAAGAGACATACTACTATATATATATGCAATTGAGAATACTCCAGGGGGGCAAATTTCTAAAGAAACAGTGTTCTTGCTTCTGTGGGGGCATAACAAGATAAAATGAGTTGATAATGTAAATTGGCCATGTAAAGAAAAGAGTTTTTATGCTGATGTTTCCGTAGAATCGACTTCTCGTGTATTTCTGTTTGGAGGTCTACCTTTTTTTCCAACCATTACGGCAAAACGATCGTCATCCATGACACTAGATACTCCTTTCGTAGTGAATATTACATTTCCAGTTTAGAAGCAATGACTTAGGGAAATATCAGCATAACATCAGGATTTCGAGAGCGAATTAAATCGTCAGCGAAGTCTGTCAACCGTATTGTGTACCGTTTCTCGGAAAAGGAGGAAGTGTAAGTCTCAAGAGCCGTCACCGTTGCAGAACGATGTGTAATTGGCCAATTTCACAAAAGCGTCTGGAAAAAGATCTACTGGATTGATCAGAATGGGAAGGATTAAGTCAATGGATTCGCGGAATATTAAAAATAAAAACACTTAAAAGAAACACAGGTCGCGAAAAATGTGAAGAAATGTCTCTCAATTACGTCTTCACCAAACAAACAAGTTTGAGTTTTTTTCACTCGATCCGAAACCATATCATAATAGTTATTGGACTGTTTTGTGGGACGAGAAGGAGCAATTTATCAAAGCAGCCGCCAAGTCAAATATATATCGTATTTCCTATTGTTTAGCCTAATGTTGAAAAGTTCATATTTTTTTGTAAAGGTTATCTCGTCACGTGGCGCGTAGGAGTGTTTTCGGATCATCGTTATTCTAAGGACGACCCGTTTTCGAAAAACCCTTAAGACTGAATTGGAAGCTAGTGTGATCATTCAGTTCAAATTGCTTTTACAATTTCAGTCCGCTCATAAAAATTAAGTGATGTTCATTCTTAAGTTCCAAAGTCATCTATTTCGTTCACACTTCATTATGTTTTACTGATGTTGTGATGGAAATTGATCAGTGCCTGTGTCGCTCCGTTGTCCATTCCTCCTTTTCCAAAACCCCTTATTAGAAATACATTTATCTCAGTATGAATAGATGAATTTTCGAACATTAGGGCAACAAGTTTATTATTTGAAAAAACAAACAATTTGAAGACCTCTGCAGTATTGGAAACTTTTCACAAGAATCTGAATAGGGTAGAAAGACAAGACTGGCTCTCTCGGAAGCCAAATTTCAGGTCTGGAAGCCAAATTTCAGGTCTGGAAGCCAAATTTCAGGTCTGGATGTGTTAGTGAGTTAAGGTAGGGGAAATGCATTCGTCTTGAACTCTGCCAGCTTTACCGTTTAGCTGTTGGCTTTAGAATTTACATGAAAGAAGAAATTCAGTCACTTTCTTTGCGGCAGAGAAGGATCCTCCTGCAGTGACGACGCTCAATTTTTATGGTTAACATGAATCAACAAAAATCTCCCACCTAAATGGGAGGTTATCTGTTAAATAATTTTAGAATAGCTCTGTCTAAAATCGTTGCTTCTTCCATTGCTAGTTAAACAAAAAAGGCATGAAATCCGATTTATCACAACACTGTCGCTTCGCCATTGCCCCTCAATATTTACCAACTACTTCTAACATAAACTGCAGCATTCACCCTGATTACATTTCCCGAATTCATCCAAGCACGACTTTTTTGTTGCGAAACCAAAATGGCCACTTTAATCGCCAAATTCACAGAACGCAGCTTATACTCTAAGCTTTCTACACACTCTCTCCCCATTTATATCGTATCAGATCACCATATAGCCGCTTCTAATGTTCGTGTATGAGTATGTGTCGGTCCAGTAAGTTTTCGATAGAAGTTAGCGGCACATGACGTTTCAACTTTTATGTCGATTTTTCTAGATCGAAACACTTGAATGAAACAGCCAGTATTTTAATAATAATTAACGAAGTGTCAGTCCAAGTACCCGAACAGCCTAGCCCGACATTTTCTTTCATCTATACCCCAGAGCTACCGAAGGAACTTAAAAAAACGAGTGATCAAAAGAGAATTGCACCTCGAAACAGAAACGGTAATATTAAGCCTGCCATTATTCGTAATATGATAACACGAAATCAAATATAGATTTGGAACTGAGCATAAAATTTACAATTAAACCTACAAAATACAAACTGAATTTACTTTACTTTCTATTAGAGCTGTTTGCTAAATCTTTTCAACACTAATTAATGTTTGTTGTAAAAGTTTCTTTGAATGTATGTGAACAGTTCATTGCGTTCAACGGAGAAATCTAGATTCAAAAATACTTTTCAAGGGGGATTTTGTTTCCAATTTTGGTCATCATTGTCTCTCAAATATTCCAGAGACATACGTTCCCACACAATATTTAGACGGAGTCTGAAATATCAAACATTCTCATCTTGTTTATATGTTGCTGATAACACTTAGGGCGCGTTTAGTGCGTACGTATCATTTAATACTGGCCTCCTAAATTGTCAGTTATCTTTGGTGGCAATATTGCTTCCCTCTCGAATCTGTTAAATTCCACTTCTGAATTAATTTGTGGGTAAACTGTGCACATCACATAATGTACTCCGACGTACTTTTCTTCCGACAGAAACAGCAAGAAAGAAAAACATTGGATCAAATGCGAAGACCATAACATCTTCACAATAAGATGCTTTACTGAGTACCTACGAAGTAATAGCTTTCATCTCCTCACTCACCACAATGCCGTGGCATAAAGGACGACGGCGCAATGATTCTAAAGGTATTTGCCGTATTTATGAATCTTATGAGGTCAAACAGACTAAAACGTAAAACAAAAAAACACATTTTGTAAGAAAATGTGAATTTGTTCACAGCTGTAAAGATAATGCTTGTGTAAATCCCATTCTTGCCTAGCCACATGCAAATCTTTCACCAATGGAAGAATGTTAGACTACACAGTTAAAACTCTAAAACTTGTACAATGAAATCATTTGTCCAACCCATAAAGAAGTAATGTACTTCTACAAATAGCTGTTTGACACCTCTGTCGACACGTTTAGAATCTGAGGAAACAAAAGGAAGGACAGAGCCGGTAACAGAAGAGCCTGCTGCGTGTGAGCCAAAAGGGGGCGCATGTGGAACGTCTGCGGATGAAGTAGGAGGTAATTTTTAAGATGATTGTGACCATAGCAGGAAAATCCCCTGGTAGATTTAACGATACCGCAGTCCCCTCGTTTCAAGTCATAGTTGGTATACTTATGTGGTTACAGAACAGGAAACCTCCAACAGCTTTCAAGGATGTTCTTTTGTCCTGTAACCAAAGAGAATGATACTGAACCTTGTTCTTTAATCTTATTTAAAAACGCACTGCCACTTTTGCGTCTTCCTCATGAGTTTTCATTTGAGACGAACTTCACTCGGACAAATGTTTGTAACTTTAACTTTTTAAATTTCTTTGTTCAAATGTAGAATTCTTTCCTGTTAGATATTCGCTCTTTCCTTATGTTAAGTCCATTAATATCGAGAACGGAGGGTCTTTTATTATGCAAGCAATTCTATTTTCTGTAAATTTTATCAGAAACATGTAGTTTTGCTTTTAAATGTCTTGCCTTGTCTTGGTTTGATTACCCAAGATTGCTGTATCAACACCTGTCCAAAATGATTTTATAAAATGAAATATCGATCGCAAAAAAAATTCCTCGAACAGTACTATTTGGTAGTGGTAAATTTGTTCTCATTCTTTTCCCTCGTTTGTATTTGATTACTATTTTTTTTATTTTCTTATTGTAATTTATTTTCTATTATCATTATAATGAATCTTTGTAATTAGATTTAAGGAGACTTGCCCGCCTAGATTACAATAAGCCATACGCGGGCCAGGACAATTGCCACTGTGTAAATAAAAGTAGATTTGTTGTTTTGCTTACAGGTGGATTTATTACAAGTTTTATTTAGGGTGCGTTTCGGCCTTTGTACAGATTATCCTCATGACTATTTAGCTTACATCGCTTTTCATATCAACGTGTGCCATGTAGCATAACAAATAAATTAATTAATCAATAAATAAACTTCTGTAGTTAACCTCTTGCCAGCTTCATTTCATTCAAACCTACACATTGTTCATTAATTTGTTTATTCATTGCTTTCAAGATGGCTAAGCATACCCGCTGATCGTATTAGCGGTTTGCCATTAGGTTTTACGAATAGCTACTAAAAAGTGTTTAAATTTTCTTTGATTATTTTGTTCGGCTCCGCTTGCTTTCTGTACGGTCCAGTGTAAGTCATCCAGGGATGAAATGAGTGTTGTATCTTGATTTCAGATGGTAATTTAAAGAGCGTCAAGCGAGACCAGAGAGGCCGAATCAAAATAAAACATTGGAGGGATAAGAAAGAAGGATTTAAGGGTCAATATCGCTGCAAAGAAGGGGCTGGTGAAGGTATGTTTAAATGTTTAAATCAAAACGTTAGTTAAGAGCAAGGAAGTTTAGCCATTGAAATGAATTTATTACAAAAGCCAAGACTTGATCATAGTCCAGCCTTATTATTAAGTAAGTTAGGTAAAGTATTCTGCTAACCGTTAGAACATCAAACGTGTAACAATATCTAAATGCATGAATGCAACTGTAGCTTGTTTTTTAAGAGAGGAAAACTGGAATCAGCCTATCTGGAGGTAAACTACTAAATATTTAATACGTTTTTGTAGACACGGCCGCTCATCAATGGGGAGCACAAAAGAAAACGGGAACTGGAAAGCAGTTTTCGCCTTCAAATGGTCCGTCAGCCGATACGATACCGCCAAAACATGCAGAAGGTATTGAACTTATAGAGGGTTTTTTGTGTTGCTTCTTACTAATAAAAACTTTTTAAAGAGAGAAAAAAAAGTTACGACGTTTTCTTTAATCTTTGGACTGTCCACGACAAAAGACACAGATGACAAAATTAAATCAGTGACTCTTTATTGCGTTTTTAGAAACATTATGATTGCTTACCTTCAATACGTCTAAACTATGAAATGTTTCGGTGATGAAATAAAACCAAATTTCCTTTTCAGATCAAACTTTGAAAAATCAACAAAAGAAGAGTCAAGGTGGGCGCGGAAGAGGCGCATCTAAGGAATATCAAACGGATTCATCGAGTAGGAAAGAGAAACGCTCAGGTGAATATATCGAGGATTTTAAAAGGGGGTCACGTGGGTAAAAGAGGTTTTTGCTAAGACTGTAGGAAATGACTTAAGTTTCGATATTCAAGGTCATTTGTTGACAAATTGCAAAGTGACTCGCGCTCTCGGAGCTCGAAAGGCGAGTTAACGTTGTATACCTCTTCAACCGTATTCTTATACCTGAATTTAAACGTGTTAAGATGAGGAAAAGGAAGGAATCGAGTTCGGATGGTCAGAGGAAAAAGCCTTGGTACTGTTCGTAAGTTCGCCACAATTGTCATGGTTACTAACAGAAATTTTATGGCATATTTTACAATCGTTTTGTGGTTATTCCATCGATAAAAGTATTTAAAACACAAAGGTTGGAAATATGGGACTAAAAAAAGATGATTCTTCCATTCTACTATATTTTACACGCCACATAACAAAGTTCTCGACCGACCGATATTCGACGCTTTGCTTCGGTCGGTGTTAATGAAATTTCTAGCTTCGTTTTTTATCATTTTGGGGAAATTGATTTTATTTTCAGACAAAAATTACGACAAATGCCAGTCTAAAACATAGACAAGTTAAATTTCACGTCGATTACGCTAAGGAAAGCTACGAAAGGTTGATTCAAAACGTATGATTAATCTTGCAAAAACAGTCACGCTTGAAACTCACTTCTTGCAATACAGATAGAAATCAAGCACAACAACCATGGAGACCACAACCCATGAAAAGAGATCCCAGCATAGTATCAAAGCCTACAACACAGTCTCATCCACGTGGAATATTCCCTGGAAAATTTTTTTCAATAGATCTAAAAGCATTGAAAAAGAAGGATCCAAATGAGGTGGTGAATACCTTAAATCAGAGAATGCCTGGTCTTAAGTTTTTTCTAAGATCACAAGAGGAAGAGCACAATAGTGATGAGTTCATTATAGATCTCATTTGTACTTTAGCAATAGCTGGTAATGCACCGACAGGTGAGAATACCAACAGGATTTTAGCTGCGCTAAAGGGTTCAGTATTCTTAACCTCGAAGATTCCGCGGTTGTTAGATCGCCTGCAGGGATCATTGGTTTTGAATGATCAAGACGTCCATGGAGGACTTTTCCACTGGCTTATTACAGTGTTCATGAATTATCTGAGACATATGCCTAGTTCGTATGCTGACCTACCTTACGATCAATTAAAAAGAACATTGGATCAGTCCAACAGCGTCAGTAAAGAGGAACTACAGAGACAGTTACAGGCATTTAAGCAAGCCAGAGATGACATCATAAGAGCCAACAGGCAGAAGCATGGAAAGCGCTACATCAACAAAGGGGGACAAAAACCCCCAAACAACTTTAGAGACCTACCAGTTTGCCCTAGTACCAAAGAAATCACAACCCAAGAACGCCCTTTCTTGCGGAAGAATATAACTAAGGGGAGGTACGAAGACGCTGAGCACTATCTCGATGTACAGTTTCGATTGCTCAGAGAAGATTTTCTTGAGCCTCTTAGAGAAGGAATTTACGAGATTGTCCAAAACGTACCAAGGAAAATGCGCAATCAATTAATGAGATATTATACAGGAGTACAAATCGTCAGAAAGACGTTCACGCCGTCTGGAGTTTCTTATGAAGTACAATTTGATATCTCCAGGTTCAATACCAGGAGGTGGGCGCACTCGAAACGACTCATCTTTGGTTCATTCCTTTGCCTTTCCAAAGACAACTTTGAGACCATGCTTTTCGCCACGGTTTGTAACAGAGATCCAGAGGAACTGATAACCGGAAAAATTGACATTCGATTCCTAGAAGAACAGGACATCTTTGGGATCGAAAACCGCAACTTTGATTATCAAATGGTTGAATCGCCAGCTTATTATGAAGCATATTGTCATGTTCTTAAAGGGCTAAAGGAATTAGATGAAACCACTTTACCATTCAAGAAATACCTAGTTGAAAGCTGCGAGGAGGTTGATCCACCAGAGTACCTGAGACGCGAGGATACTCAAGAGCCGGTGTGTTACGATCTTACACTGGCCCTGAATGTTCCACACGCAACAGAAGCAAGGAGAGTTCCTGTCCTACACCTTGACGCTTGGCCGCCTGTCGAGACTCTTCCTCTTAACGATTCTCAGCTTGAAGCCTTAAAAATGGCACTTTCAACTGAGTTTTCAGTAATTCAGGGTCCTCCTGGAACTGGAAAGACGTACGTCGGGGCAAAAATTGTGCGATGCTTACTTGAGAACCGAGAGGCCTGGGACCCAGATAAAGTTTCGCCAATGCTTATGGTCTGTTACACTAACCACGCTTTGGATCAGTTTTTGGAGAAAGTATTGGAGTTCCTTCCTAAGGAAGAGATCATTCGTGTCGGAGGGAGATGCAAAAGTAAGCAACTAGAAGGGTGTAACCTGAAGCTTTTTACCAGTCAATACAGGAAGTGTGACAAGCGAGGGGAGGTCAGAGCTTTAATAGAAAACATCGTATCGGCGACGAACCATTGCAAAGATTTGCTTGCCAAAGCAGACGATCGACTGTTATGTCTGGACGACTTAGAAGACTTGTTAAGTACAGGACACGTGGAACAGCTGTACAATGCCATCTTCCCTCACAACGCCACAAGAGAATCCCGACATGCAGGAAACACCTTCGCACTTTGGTTATGTAGCAACGAGCAGATTAATTCCTGCAATCAGATAAAAAAGGTAACAGAGGAAAGCCTACAAAATGGAATTGTTTTACCAAAACATAATGTAGGAGAAGACCGAGAAATATTCTATGATTCTACGATGTCATTAGCCCCATTTATCGCCGATGAAGTCGGTTATGATACTGAACTAGAAGGTGCAAGTGTAGGTCAGAGGCAAGTTTCCTTTGCATTAACGCCAACCTCCTATGGTATCGAATCCAGCCGTCTTCTATTAGTAGAGGAACAATCCAATTCATCAAAACATCATCCTAAATCGACAAAGAACCTCCCACTTGATCAAAGGGAATTGCAGGAAACATCCTTCGCAAGTGCCAAAAGAGAAGCACCAGAAAGTTTCGTAGATCGAGACACCACTCTTACAGCATCAGTTGCTTTGGAAGCCAGTTCTCAAACAGACTCTAAAACTGAAAAGGATAACGACTTTGAGACTGTTAGTGAAGTTTCAGAAGTTTTTGAAGAGACTATCACAGTAGAAAAGGAAGCTGATTTGATACAGTATCAAAGATGTCTACACGGAGATGGCGATTTCCTTCCTTTTACCGTCAAGACGGCATCAGAAGACGAAAGAGGTCCAGAGCTAGAGGGAAAACATGAGGAAGAGGGATGGGAGGTGGTGGTTTATAAGAAGAAAAAGAAGGGAAAAGTTTGTTTCCAGAGGAAGCAAAGAATGCTTGAGAGCTCTGAAGATGCATTAGAGGAAGAGCAAGTGTTGTATGTTCCAGACGAGGGCGATACTGACTACAACACCTCATCAAAGAAGAAGAAAAAGAAGCAAAAGAAGAAAAACAAAAAAATTCATCTCACAGCTAATATTGAAGATTTAAAAGGGAAGCTGGAAAAAGAAGCAACAATGTCTTATGAAGAGGCAACGAGTGTCAAGGACATTTGGCTGCTATCGCCCTCTAAACGACTTCGATTGTATCTTTTCTGGGTGGAGAGCTACCGTGAACGGTTTAGAGTTGAAATCCAGAGATGTGAAAGGGAATACGAACAACTTTGCCACGAGCTAGATGATGTCAGATTTCAAGAAGAGGAAGAGGTAATACGTCGTGCAACTGTTGTTGGCATGACAACTAGTGGTGCAGCAAGGTATCACTCAGTGCTTCAGAGTGTAGCCCCTAAAATTGTTATCATCGAAGAAGCAGCCGAGGTTATGGAAGCCCACATCATCACGTCTCTTTCGCACAACACAAAACACACGATTCTTATTGGAGATCACAAGCAACTCCGTCCAAAAGCAACAGTCTATGAACTGGCCCAGAAATACAACCTGGAAATTTCCTTGTTCGAAAGAATGGTTATGAACCGCATGGAATGCAAACGCCTAAGTATACAGCATCGCATGCGCCCAGAGATTGCCGCACTGACCAAAAGAATCTATGAGTATGAGATCATTGACCACGAATCTGTACACAACTTTGAAAATATCACAGGTGTAACAAGTAACCTCTTCTTCATCGATCATCGCCAACCTGAGAACCTAGAGGGTGGCTTACAAAGTTACTCCAACCCTTACGAAGCAGACTTTCTGGTAGAACTCTCCAATTACCTTCTGCTTCAAGGATACAAACCAAACCAAATTACAATTCTCACCATGTACACTGGCCAGTTGTTACTTCTTCAAGAGAAAATGCCGAGACGAATATTTGGGGGAATACGAGTGTGTGCCGTTGACAATTTTCAAGGTGAAGAGAGTGACATCATTCTTCTTTCGCTAGTGAGGAGCAATTCAGAAAGCAAAATTGGTTTTCTGGGTGAGTCGAACAGAATCTGTGTTGCATTGTCAAGAGCTCGCGAAGGATTTTACTGTATTGGAAATTTCCAGCTATTGAAAACACAGTGCAAGCTGTGGAGGGATATATGCAATTATCTTCAAGCGCGAAATTCAATCGGCGAGAACCTGCAGCTTGTTTGCAAGAGGCACAACAATGTGTTCAATGTACAATCGGGAAAAGATTTCAACAGACTTGGAGGATGCAAGGAGATTTGTGGAGACCGCCTTAATTGTGGGCATGCCTGTGAAAGCCTATGTCATGTTCGCGACCCACTTCACCAGAAATTCAAGTGCTTGAAAAGATGTTCCAAACCGTGTTCCAATGGACATCAGTGTCGACTTGTCTGTCATTCTCATGTAGAATGTCCAAAATGTGTTGCGCCTATGTCAAAGACAATACCTAGATGTGGTCACGAACAACAAGTTCCGTGCTCTACTGACCCGTCAAAATTTTTTTGTCGAGCCCAATGCGAGAAACTCCTCCAGTGTGGCCACAAATGCGCGGATTCATGTGGAGCTATTTCATGTACACAAAAATGTCTCGTTCAGTGCAAGAAAATCCTTCCATGTGAGCACGAAAAGATGATGGCATGTTTTAAAAACCCCATGGAACACAGAAAATGCGACGTTAGCTGTCCAAAAGTTCTAGACTGTGGCCACCCATGTTCAATGCGATGCACCGATAACTGTCGATGTAACAGCAGCATTAGAGTTAAATTGAGGTGTGGGCATCGAAAGATAATTTTATGTCGCAATAAAGAAAACCCTCAGCTGTGCTTTGAGAGATGTGAAAGGGAACTGGACTGTGGACATATTTGTCCAGGTAAATGTCACGAGAATTGTGGAACGAAAAAATGTGAAAGCGCTGTCTCCAAGTGTCTTCCATGCGGCCACCAACAAATGGCTCCTTGCCATATGAATCCAATAAAAGTTTTCTGTAACGCACCTTGTCAAAGGCAGCTGAACTGCGGTCACAAGTGCTCATCTGTTTGCGGCCGAGTGTGCCAAGAGGTTCGATGCCAACATTTATGCCAAATGATCTGTAAGGGTGGTCATGCATGTAAAAAACCTTGCCACTTTAACTTGCCATGTGGCGATTGCATGGAAATGGTTAATGTAACAATTCCATCATGTGAACACAGTATTGAAACCTACTGTTACGTAGAACCAGCCACAGTGACGTGTAAAAGACCTTGTGAAAGACTACGAGCCTGTGGACATCCATGTCAGGAAATTTGTGGTAAGAGATGCGAAACGCGGCCGTGCAAGGAAACTGTAACCAGAACGTTAGCATGTGGTCATGCAGTACCCTTACCCTGTCGCAAGGACCCGGAAAAGTACAAATGCAGGGAAAAGATCGAGGTTCGTTTATTGTGTGGACACAAGAAGACTTTGGAGTGTTATGTTGCAAAAACTGAAAAAGAAAACATTTTATGTAACGAAATTGTTCAGAAAAAACTGCACTGTAAACACACGGTCTCTCTCCCCTGTCATAAAGGTATCGAAGAGTACAAATGCAAGCAGAAAGTTAAAGTAGAGCTTTCGTGTGGACATGCCAAGACTGTTCTCTGTTTCGTTGCGACCGGTAACTTGCAAAGTGTCAACTGTAAGGAGAAGGTGGAACGAGAACTACCGTGCGGACATAACGAAACCCTACCGTGTTACAGAAATCCTGAAGAGTATTGCTGTCAAAAGGAGGTTGAAATTACCCTTCCTTGTTTACATAAGAAACTGATAGTGTGTGCCAAAGTGAGCCGTGGACTACATGGCGAACCATGTGATGAAATAGTGACGAGGAAATTACCTTGCAACCATGAGAAGCAAATGAAGTGCTCGTTTCAAACTGAGAAAGCATTTTGTGATGCTCCTTGTGGAAAAAATCTTTCATGTAACCACCCTTGCCCGGGAAAATGTGGCGAGAATTGCTCCAGCTTCAAATGCGCTGTCAAAATTGAAAAGAAATTAGCCTGCGGAAAACACTGGAAAACTTTCCGTTGTTCAGAAGATGTGTCACAGAGTATTTGTTCGAGTAGCTGCACGCTTACGTTGTCCTGTGGACACAGATGCCCTGGTAAATGCTTTGAAGACTGCAATAACTTCAAGTGTTCAGTAATGATGTTTAAGCACCTCAATTGCGCAGGAAACCACTCCAAGGAAATGGCTTGTAGTGAGGACCCTAAGGCTGCAAAATGCGAGAAACGATGCGACAGAACTCTTGTTTGTGGTCATCCGTGTCCAGGGCTATGCGGTCAAGACTGTGGCAGTATGAAGTGCATCCGAAGAGTAGAAAAATCATTTCCTTGTGGTCATAAGGAGCCACTTCAGTGTTACCAGAGTGAAAGTGCAACTTGCATGAAACCCTGTCGGCGTCGAAAGAGTACATGCAAACATTTGTGTAAGGGAGTGTGTGGTGACAACTGCTCCAAGTATCCTTGTGATGTAGCCGTAAATAAGACCCTTGCATGCGGCCATAAAATCAGGATGCTTTGCAGCCGAACTGCTGATGCCGTTGAATGCCCCGTTCCGTGTGGGAAAACGTTACCCTGTGGTCACCAATGTTCTGGAGCGTGTAAAGATTGTCAACCGAGAGGCTCACATGAATTGTGCCAATATACATGCGGCAAATTACTCGTATGTCTGCATCGTTGCAAGGCCATGTGTAGCGAGCCTTGTCCTCCATGTGACAGGAAATGCAACCGATGGTGCCCTCATGGAAAGTGGTCAAAAAAATGCTCTAAACCGTGCGAACCGTGTAAAAAACCGTGCACCTGGAGTTGTCCTCATTATCAATGCAACAATCTCTGTGGTGAGGAATGCGACCGACCTCGCTGTGATGCTCCTTGTACCAAGAAGCTTCAATGCCGTCATCCGTGTATTGGGCTATGTGGAGAAAATTGTCCCAGCTTATGCAGCATTTGCCACTCCAAAAAGCTTTCTTCCCTATTTGGCGATGGACATGGTAAGAAAATGGAAGTCCCCAGATGCTTACAGTTGTTTGACTGTGGTCATATTATAAAGGTCGATGAAATGGATGCGTGGGTGTCGCTTGAGTTGGGTAATGATGTACGCCTCTTGCGATGTCCGAAGTGCACTACATCAATAACATTTAGCTATCGCTATGGCAATATCATCAAAAGAGCACTGGCTAATATAGAAGATGTCAAAAGACAACTTCAACAGGTCGAAAATGAAGTAACTAACTCAGCCATACAGCTAGCAAAAGATCTAAATATTGAGCAGCCAAAGCATGCTGTAAAGAAGAAGAGGAAGAGGGTCCCGCCAACAGAATTAGACTACGTTCAGGTAGTTCGATGGACTTGGAATCCTTTCAATCTGCCAGATGCAAATGAGAGTAGCGTCCTTAAATCGACGTTTAGAAATCATCTGATCATCCTTCAGCAGGTAACGAGAGCAGAACAAGTGCTAAAAAGAATTCAAGTTGGCTTCAAAGACCAACATAAGATGGGGGATTTATCTAAAGCCACATTGGAAGACGCATTGGAAGATATCAAAGAGTACCTTGAGGAGCCGCAACTGGATCTTAAATCACTAAGTCAAGTGTATGAGCAAGCGAGGAAGTTCTTCCTATTTTCTAGTGTTTTAGAGGTCCATAACACTGCTGTACAGAAGAAAATCGCTCTGTCAAGTATTGGTGAATATAGATTAAAGTTGGCGTGCAATGGGTTTACGGGGTTCATCCAGGATGATGATGGTGCTTTAGATCTTGAACGACTGGAAAGGATCGTTGAAGTGCTCCGTGCAGAGGTAAAACTTGCACCTTTACGGCCTGAGGAAGTAAAAGTCTTCTCGAATTTCCCTGGATACCAAAGTGACATTTGGAAATTATGTGGACAAGGCCACGTTTACTACATGACATGGATTGTGCGAGGAGGCGAAGATATACTGACCGGAAGCGAAGGATGCAGAAGATGTACAAAAAGTGAAACTGTATAAAATGAATAGGGTGAGTTAAACAGAAACGAGGAAGGAATCAGCGCTGAATTAATCTAATACCCGTCGAATTAACGTTGGTTGTATCAAAATTTAAGCTTATACGAAGTACCATTTCATTTTTTTTTTTGAAATTTACGAGCAATAATATTTAACTGTAGTAAGAATATGTTTTTAAATTTTTCGGAAAACATCTATCGCCATCTAGCTAGAATGTGATGCCCTAAAATGCAGTAGAAGCTGCATCCTTTATTGACGTAGCTACTTCTATTCCTACAGGTCCTTTAAAACATTGGAGAGTCCTTACTTATGCTCGCCTATAAGGATTTTCACGGAATCAAAGCGTCTGGCTATCTACAACCATAGACCCCTTCGAGGAACCAAAGAACTTTATCATCTCTATAGGTCTCAATATGCCGCGGAAAGAGCTATATTAAGTGCTTGCGAGTTATTATAAAAGACGTGGAAGATTGCACCAGAGAACAGTTCAGAATATCTAATAACTTACGCGTGAATGGATCAGAAAAGAAACTTATTATACCTGCTTCAATTTCTGTAAAACATTGGTTGTGCGCACTGTAGCAATTAAGGCCGGCCTTATACGACATCGCACCAAGAACTCGTCCTTTCGCAGACGTACTACTTATACACAATGAGAAAGTACATGATCTTAGAGCGAACAAATGATATGGTGACCGGCGTAAAACTGAATAATAAATAGTGCTTAAATAACTTAGCGAGTTAGTTTACCAGATTTATCTCGGGATATTAATCTATTAGAGTATTAATTAAAACGTAGCTTTTCATCAGGCAAGATTTAGATATCAATACTTGAAAAAAAAGTAAAGCACACATCAAGTTGGCTGGAAGGTTATGTCACATTTTCAGCGAAATCATTTATTTGTTTGATAATGTATAAAATGGGTTACAGTAGTCTGCATGAATGGCAGCTAATGCGCGAAAGTGCCCAGTGTTTGTTGATCCTGCCAACATTTTCGCTTATTTTGTAAAGCTTACTTTTAATGCAGTGTACTTGAAGGATAGGAAATTTGGTGTGTCTTTTAAGAGAAATCGAAATGATAAAGTAAACCAGAAATCATCAAATATGCTTCTAAAAAAGCGGAGGATTTCTATGAAAAATTCCTTCAATAATGAAAATTACAATTTTAGACAAGGCCAATGGCACAAAAATACACTACCTGTAAACTTATTTAACTTATAAGAAGTAACCTTTCATCGGTAATGACATATGCTTTAGTTTGTTTTCAACCAACATATGTAACATACTAAGTTAAAATTCTGGGGTTGAAGTTGCATTGTGAAAAGGAACATACAGTGATGTAGCGGATGGAAGACGATGCCGACTCCTCGGAGTAGAACAGTTCCGTATAGAATTTTAAGACCAATGCTACTGTACAATTACGCCTTTCCTCCAAAAAATACATGTAGAGCCATGTTGACTACAAACATAAACGATTAAAATTAATATCAGATTTCTCATATTGCTTTAATCCTTAAATATAACCGGTAGGGAAACAGAATGTGTATTTATTATATGAACTGCGCTGTTTCTCAAGGATTTCCAGCCCTGAAAAAGGCCATACTGAACACGAGTCAAAATACGACATTTTTTACGTGTCTTCGATATCGCCAGTCAGCTGCGGACACGTCACTCGCCTTTCGCGTCACTCTGTCAGGTTGATGAATGAATGGCAAGGCGTTCACCATTCTCAATCCAAGGTTGTTCGCCGAAATGTTCTCGGAATATGGCTGCTGAAACTACTGAAAGATTCTTATCGCTAACAGACAGTGACGTTTGAAATTTTCTACAAGTGGGAGAAAACCAAACCACGAAAGAAGAACCAGAAGAGTGAATACCACCAAATTGTTACAAGAAACACACCCTTGCATTTACCCAACCAGAACCTCTTGTGAAATAAAAAAATATGGCGTTTGACTCCTACCTTTAACTCTTACATCTTCTGAAATAAGTCGCTAAGACCAGTGAAGAATTAAACGTTTCTGTTAAAAGATCAGAAAAAGATGTGTTGACGAGAGAAGCATATCAAACCATGACTTACACCAGTTGAACGTAAATGAACCCTGGCAAGATCAGAACACCAATGAAAGTATAACAAGTTCTTAAGCAGAATCTGCGGAGAAAACAGGCAATTTTGATCTTCAATAGAAAAGTCTTAAATAGAACTATTTATTGCGGGGCAAGTCGACATCAAAATGCACATAAAAAGTTTTCAGGGACAAAATCACCTCTTCCATGTATCTCGTTTTGAAAACTTGATGGTATAGTTAGCTCCGCTTTCCGTTTTCCACCATCCAATCCAATTTTACTTGACTCCTTTTTCTGAGAAAAAAAAAAAAAAAAACGTTTATCCCTACAAACATTGTCTCCAAGAATCTAAATTTGATAGTAACTCAGTATCAAGTTACTGCCTGAAAATACTTGTCCACCGAAGCGACTAGGTTTTATTTCGTTATCTTCCCTGGACGTTCACTCAGTTAATAGTATTTTGTGTTGTAAGCGAGTGTCGGTATCCACTCTTCCTTGTGATGTCTTGACGGTGAGAACGGGTGAGGAAATGTTTTTATTCATCTTTTTCCTTGTTCCTTCGCTAGCCGAAGTTGTGCTGATCTAATTAGTTGTTATTCAAGCGAAATACAGAGGACGATTCGCTGAACTTTAAGGGGCCGGTTATTTAAGACTACGACAAATTTTTACATATGCATAAATTGAAAAAACCAAGGATTTCATAAAATTGTCCACAGTTAAGTTCCATCGTTTTGACGATCACGCCTGTCAGACGTGTAACGCCGACAAGATGCGATGGAAACAAAAGAGAATCTCTATGATAGCTTCTCAGTGGATACCTTAGACTGGAAACGTTTGAAAAAAGAAAAGCTGAACGTACAGCAATGTCTTCAAACAATATCAAAGCCGCCGTGTTAGTGCGTCAATGGTTTTCGGAATTGCTAAATTGAAAACAAACTTGAACTATAGACAATGACAAAAGGATATATTTAGTAAGAAAAGGGAATATTTAGACTCATGTTTTTCGAGAGATGAAGTACTACGAAGATCGCTTTCATATCTAAAGACGAAATAAAACTCAAATCGATGAAGGGCGTTATTAACCTTTCTCGAACAACAACGTATTACCGACGTATTAGTTTCGACAAGCCAAAGCATATCTCGATCGTTCGTCTGGAAATCTGACCCACACTGATTATTATTCAGTGACACTCTACACTGGTTGATATGTAACATAAATTTAGTTGTTCAACGGCGGAGATAAAGAGACTCTGGGGAGAATTGATAAAATGGAAGGCGGCAAGAAACCAAAGTCGTTATCTTTAGATCTTAAGATCGACCGTTGAAAAGCTGTGAAAAATAACAATGATAATAAATTTTCGACGCTTGAGTAAATATTTTTCCTCCGCAAGCGACGGACTAACAGAATGTAATGGAGAGAGGTGTGAAATTTTCAGACTGGGTTGCGGTGCTGAAAATTAATTTAGATTACATGCAATAAAATTCTTACATGTATCTATTTTCATTTAGTCACATGCAATTGTTATAAAATGAGGAGATGGGTGAAAAACGTTTTAAACTGCTACTCTCTTCCCCAGCAATTGTATGTTTCTAATCATTGATTATGCATTTAGCCAAAGGGAATGTCTAAATATAATTGATAAAACAAAGGGTTTCTATTTCGACATACCTCTAAGAAACAACTCTTCTTAGCAATTTAATCGAATTAAATAAAATTTAAGTGACAATTCACTTATCATTGCTTATGACTATGATGAGATAATTAATAGTAATAGGACCGAGTGGAGTCTAATTCGGTCTGTAATCATACGAGTGATTAACAAAATCGGACTACCGCGAAGCGGGAGTCCTATTTGTCAATCACGAGTTTGACTACAGACAGAACTGGACGACAAGAAGTCCTGTTACCAATTAATCATAACCATTTCAATTTCCAAAAAAACAAATACACTTAGAAAAAATATCTCCAGTGGAGAAAATGTCTTTGGTTCAAAATTCCTACATTTTTTAAATTCCCCAGTTTTTCTATGGACAAGTGGTTGTTGCTATGGTTATTTTGATCATGTCTGTAATTGGTGAATTCGCTAAGTGGACTTAGTATGACTGGCTGCTTCAACTGTCCGACTACAGGTGTCCGATTAAAGCCAATTGTCCGATAACACTGTCCGATCACAACTGCACAAAATGATTACTGAAAAATAAAGCTGTGAATGCACCAATAATATTTGAGGAATTTGTAATGGTTATGATTAACTTGTTAATAGTCTCTGATTTCGGTCAAAATCTTTCTATCAAATGGTTTTTATCAAAGCCAGTACGGTGAATAATGTAATAAGATTTTCGTAAACTGTGGCTATTCAAAGTTATTATCCGGTTACTCATTTACTCTAGAACAAAATTCTGGTCACATTCGGTGAAGTATTCGAGAGCCTACCGACACACTCGTCAAAAACTGCCATCCATCTGGTTTTGATATACCATGCTTAACCAACAAGGTTTTTCTAAAGAGCATACCCAGACGCAGCCTTCTTCTATTACGGAATAAACCAGATTTTGAGACAGTTTTCTATCACATTCAAAGCGCTTATCAAAATAACTTAGGTAACTCCATGAGTCGAGTACTCCTATTGACAGGAGTAGTGACCGCTGTCGATGATGACCGTGACACATTTCTATTTTAGTACCATGCTCGTACCAACGCCTCTGCATTTGTTGGAAGTCGTAGGGGAACAAAAACTTTGAAGGTTAGTCAATCAGAACCAATGAAAAACTGGTCTATGTTATAAAATGCAGTGCTAATACAAATTTGTATATAGGCGAGACAGGTAGCGAAAGTGTGTCTGCGATTTGATTTGGTATACCCTCCTGAAAGGCGGGAAAACCGATTCGAATTTTCGTCTCTGGCCAGCGAGAGAACACACGATGTTTTCGTGAGGAAGAAAAATCGAAACAACAAACTTATTGCTTTAATTTGAGACGGAAACTTATTATTCGGAGGTTTGTTTAGGGTAGATTGTTTCTTATCAGGCAAAAGCTTTCCAACTTAAAGTAAGTTTTTAGCCCTTCCGCAACCAAGTGAGGACTTGAGGACTCCAGAAGTCTTAATGCACCCGTTGGTTCTGTTAAAGGAACAAGCAAGCAATAGAAGGTGCACGGTTCTTTGAAATGAAGTTGTGGATATTTGAGAGCGAAGGTGGAAAGCGACCGAACTTTCCATGTGGCAATGATGGGCTCACACCATATTATAGGAGATATGAATTCAGGCCTTTTAAAGAGAATTAATCGTTTTACTCCAGGAACCTTGCTGTGGTTTCTTAAGATGCTATTTGAGATTTTTAAGTGCGACATCAAGCTTCACCTTGTACGTGAAACTCGTATGTTCAATTCTGGGAACAATAGATTTCTATAACCAAATCGACATTGTCCAGAAAGCATATGTTGTGCATCATGACTGGACAAACACTAAGTTTGTCAACTGATACGATTTCTTTCCTTGAATTTTCATTCTCAGCTTTCTGCGAGAACTCAGGATGCCTTCACAGAAACGACGAGGAGTAAAACCCAAGAACCTGAAAGAACCTGGGGGAATCTCAAAAGGTAACAAAACAGTTATTTCAAATTAAAACGTTGACGAGATAACTGCTGTGGCAATGACCACAGAACTAAAAATTAATATTAGACCATCCGAGTTAATCCAAAGAAGCCTAACATAAAATGGCGAAAATAAATAATTTTTTTAAGGAACCGTTTTGCACTCAATTAGTCTCTCAATCTCTGTTTTAAGCCAATAAAGATTCCATGCAAACGTCAAATCCAAAGCAGGAAAAAAGTCAGGGAAAAAGGCAAGGAAATAGGGAAACTGAAATGTCACCAGCACAGGGCGCTTGCGGGACAGCTGCTGATGAGACGCAAAATAGACCCAGTATCCAAGGTAGGGAAATGAGAGACGTGGAAAGTTAAAGAAGGGATAGACAAGTCAACTGAAGGAAAATGATCGGGGAGGTTTCGAGGTAGCCTAGTTACTTTGAATATGAGATACCGCAGGAAAAGAGAGGGAGGTGAAGGCACAATGATCAAGAGAGCGAAAGGAAAGACGTTAAAAGGGAGGGAGATGTCCAACGATAAGGAGCGAGGAAGGAAAGGGTAGTAAGGAAAAGAGGTAATGTTACATGCATGTTACTACAGAAGTGTTTAACTCTTCCTTGCATGACCACTCTTTCATGTTAAGATGACAGTTCCACAAAACAGAATAAAGAGCGTAAGGACCACAGAAGAAGGAAGCCACAGACATTTACAAAGGGCAAGACACAAGGGCATTCAAATGAGAAAAGAAAACCCATTTCAGGTTGGTAGAGCTCAGAGTTCATATAAACTAATTTTTAAACATTTGTAGATACAAATTGAAGACACCACACAATTCTACAGTAGTAATGCTTTCAGCGTTAAGATTAAAAAGAAAAAGAAATGAGAAAATAACTTGCTGTTTTTCAGATGGAGGAGCATCGTTACCAACTGACATAAGAGGAACCGGAAAGGATACCAAGGTAGAAAAAAAATCTCCAGATTCCGCACCAAAATCTGGTAACATCTCAGCAGGTATGTTGAGTGATTGCCTGATAAACATTTTGGTCGGAAATCGTACCAGTAACAAACTCAACAACTATTGCTTTATTGAAAAAAATAACATCACCGGAAAGTATCGTGGCTGTTTACTTAGGCACTAAAACATTGCTTTAACACAGTGCTACGACTTCAGTATTTCAGTATTTCTCAAAATGGAAAATACTAACGCCTCCTAAACTGGTAAAAACTGTTTGGAACAAGTTACTATTTAGGAACTCAGTTTATTGAACTATTAATCTGTTCCGATCTTCCTTCCCATAACCTGCAATAATATGAAACATAGCCGTGCATTCAATTTCCTCTGTTTGTTTCTATTTACAAGCGTTTGGATAACCTGCTAACAAATGCATCGGCTGTGTATAAATTTTAAAACGGCTTAGTCGGAAGTGTGTCGAGTATGGGCTTAATTGTTTGGTATGAATATTGAAGGTGGCAATTTTGACGAAAAGAAACAAGATCCTCACGGGAGCGGAAGAGAAACATCACGGGAATCCAATGAAAGTAAAGAACTGCCTTCGTCGAGTGGCAAAGGAAGACGTTTTGGTACGTAGACCAGCGAACATTTTGTAAAATAAGAATCAAATTTGTTATTGTAAAAAATTCATGTAAGAATATATTGATTCCTACAATACAGGTCAAAACAGGGATTATCAAACACGAAAAGCTAATCTACCGATCAAAAAGCACCAAACACAGCCTCCACTACCATGTGAACAAAATAAACACAGCAAAAAGAAATCACTTCCCAGACAACGAATCGTCCTTGAACTCTCAACATTGAGAGAAAAGGATAGCATTGAGATTGTTCAGAAGTTGAATGAGAGTTTGGATCGTTTCAAGTTCTTTCTACGATCAGAGGAGCAGCAGCACAACAGTGATGAATTCATATCGGACCTCACTTGCACATTAGCAGTTGCCTGCGATGCACCATCGAACGAGAAAACGAATAAGATTTTAGCTACACTTAAAGGATCAGCATTTTTCAGTAAGAAAATTCCGTACTTGCTTGATCGTGTTCAAATGAAGAAGGCAATAAAAGATCCGGAATCTCGAGGAAAATTCATTGGTTGCTTAATCAAAGTGTTCACGAGTTATTTGAGGCGCTTGCCAAGTTCATATGCTGACCCACCTTACGATCAACTGAAACAAACCCTGGAACAGTCAATCGTTGATGGAAGAGATGAGTTGACGAAAAAGTTAGATCACTTCAAGCAAGTAAGAGATGACATTATAAGGGCTGAACGAGCGAGGCATGGAAAGCGCTATACCAGGACGACGGAACAAAAACCACCAGATGATTTTAGAAAAATTCCCATATGTCCATCGACTAAAGAAATCAAAACTCAAGAAGTTCCCTTCTTACGTAAGAACATAAAAAGAGGACGTTACGAAGACGTCGAGCACTACCTTGATGTGCAGTTCAGATTGCTACGTGAGGATTTCCTTGAGCCTTTAAGGGAAGGTATCTACGAAATAACACACCATGTTTCAAGAGAAAATCGCAATCAGATGATGAAATGCTATCAGCAAGTGGTTATTGTTCGCAAAGAGTTCACGATGTCCGGAGTTCATTACGATGTTCAATTTGACGTTTCCCAGTTCGGCAAGACAAACTGGACCCAATCAAAAAGGCTCATCTTTGGATCATTTCTTTGTCTTTCCAAAAACAACTTCGAAACATTGCTTTTTGCTACAGTTGCGAATCGAGACCCAGAACGCCTGCAGAGAGGTAAATTTTACATTCAATTCCTTGAGGACCAGAATGTTTTTGAGATTGAAGAAAGTCGAGATCGATACCAAATGGTTGAGTCACCGGCCTTTTTTGAAGCATATCGCCACGTACTAAAGGGACTTCAAGGATTGAATGAAACGAACATGCCTTTCACGAAGTACTTGGTTGAGTGCTGTGCAGAGGTGGATCCACCAGAGTATCTAAGGCGCAAAAGTGACCAAGATCCCGTGTGTTATGATCTCAGTAAGGCTCTTGATGTACCGAAATCAACCAAAGCGAAGAAGGTACCTCTTCTGGTACCTGAAGCCTGGCCACCTGTTGAGTCACTACGTTTGAACACTTCCCAGCTAGAGGCACTGCGAACAGCTGTTTCAACTGAGTTCTCTGTCATCCAAGGGCCACCAGGGACGGGAAAAACTTATGTTGGAGCTAAAATTGTGCAGTGCTTGCTTGATAACCGTCGGAAGTGGGACCCGAGTAAAACATCACCAATGTTGATGGTTTGCTACACAAATCACGCTCTGGATCAATTCCTAGAGAAGGTAATGGAGTTTCTTCCAAAAAAAGAGATCATTAGAGTTGGCGGTAGGTCTAAAAGTGAGGAACTACAAGCATGTAATCTAAAGCTTTTCACGAAGAAGTATAGGCGACGCGGTGATCGCCATGAAGTACAAGGTAAAATTCATAAAAACAACAGAGAAATGAAAGCTTTAAAAGCTGCTCTTGCCAAGGGTGACGGTTATCTGATGGATTTTAAAGAATTGGAACGCTTCATGCAGATGCAGCATACAGACCAACTGTATCAAGCTGTCTCACCACCGAAAGCCTCAGCCATATATAAGACAATTTCAAACATTTTTAAATTGTGGCTATGCAACAACGAGAGGTTGAATCATCTGAATCAGAGTGCAAACGCGTCAGAGAGAGCTGAAGGTGGTGAAATCCAAGAAGGGTGTATCATTCCACCAGAAGGTACAGTTGAAAAAGCTGTCAGCGTTGATTACGCTCCTTTCGCGACCTTAGAACATAGTAATACAAATGGCTACTTTGGCGACGGATTTGTGGTAGGATTTGATGAACAATCCCTCAACGAACGCCCCAACGAGAATGAGGCCAAAAGAGATACAAGAAACGATGAACGAACGATGCCTCTCTTCGAAATAGGTCAACCTCGGGCTGAAAAATCACAAACGACCACTCTGAACCTAACCAGCTCGTTTGGGGAAATGAAACAACCGAGTCCTGCACACGAGTTATCAAATAGCATAACGTTGTATAATGATTTTTTTTCGTCAGTTTCTCTTGAGGCAAGAGAAGTAACTACCGCTGAAATGACAGAACACCTCGAGGAGCCAGGTTATCCGTCAAATCTCGTCCTTGAAAAAGATCCCAGAGACGATGATCCATTCATTACCATAGAAGAAGAAGCTTCAAGGCTACAAAATGAACGATTTATCGAGGGCGATGAAGAATATGAGCTACTACTTATACCAGAATCAGCACACGTAAGAGGTCAAGAAGAACATGAAGGGGGCGTTCCGAACGGTACTTACGAGGACACTCCATTCGTGTGGCATATAAACAGCCTAGATAGTAGCGAAGGAGGTCAAGTGATGGGTAGCGAAAGCGGCCGAAGCCAGTTTGAAGCTGAAAGCCAAACACTCCAGTCGCAAGACGAAATGTTTCTGGCAGAAAAAGTCAGCAAAGTACATTCTCAGTTGGGGAAGGTTTCAGGGATGACTGATGACGAAGCAAAAATGGTGACAAACATCTGGGATTTACCTGAAAAAGAGCGATTCCGATTGTACCTTTATTGGGTTAAGTGCTGTCGTGAACACTTGAGACTTGAGATCCAAAGAGGCGAACAGAAACATGAAGAGCTTTGTGCTAAATGGAAAATCATTATCTGTCAAGAGGAGGAGGAGGTAATATGTAGAGCAACAGTCGTTGGGATGACGACCAGCGGTGCAGCGAGGTACCACTCGATGCTTCAGAGAATAGCTCCCAAAATTATTATAATCGAGGAAGCTGCTGAGGTAATGGAGGCTCATATCATCACTTCTCTTGCTCGCGACACAAAACATACGATTCTCATTGGGGACCACAAACAGCTGCGCCCGAAACCAACAGTCCATCAACTAGCCCAAGAATACAACCTCGAAATCTCCTTGTTCGAACGAATGGTGCTCAACAACATGGAATGTAAACGCCTTGCCATCCAACACCGCATGCGTCCCGAGATTGCTGCCTTAACTAAACGAATTTATGAGCATGAGATCATTGACCATGAATCTGTTTGTAATTTTGACGACATTTCTGGACTACGTCATAACCTTTTCTTCCTCGATCATAGTCAGCCTGAGTCTTCAGTTCGCGGCCTCCAGACTTTCTCCAACCCTCATGAGGCGGAATTCCTAATAGCGCTCTGCCGTTATCTGTTATTGCAAGGATATAAACCAGCTCAAATCACTATCCTCACCATGTATGCAGGCCAACTTTTAGAGTTAAAGAACAAATTGCCCAGAAAAGAGTTTGAAGGGGTTAAGGTGTGTGTCGTCGACAATTTCCAGGGAGAAGAAAATGACATTATCTTGCTTTCGTTGGTGAGAAGCAACTCCACAATTGGGTTCCTAAAAGAATCGAACAGAATATGTGTGGCACTATCAAGAGCTCGTCAAGGTTTTTATTGCATCGGAAATTTTAGCCTTCTTAAATGCAAAAGCCCACTCTGGAAAGAAATATGTGATGATCTAGAAACAAAGAATGCAATAGGCCAAACCTTACAACTGGTTTGCAAGCGGCATGACCATTGCGACGAGGTAAGAAATGGACGTGATTTCCAAAAGTTCCCACTTGGAGGCTGTGGTAGGGTCTGCGGAGACCGCCTTGATTGTGGCCATGCATGTGACAGAAAGTGTCACCCTACAGACGAGTATCACGAATTTGGTCGATGCCCAAAGATGTGTTTGAAAACCTGCTTCAATGAGCATCAATGCAAGAGGAGGTGTCATGGTCCAAATGCCTGTTTATGTCCACACCCCATGCTAAAAATAATCCCCAAATGCGGTCACGAACAAAGACTTCAGTGTCACGTTAATCCAGAGGAGTTTGTTTGCCAGATGAAATGCGAGAGAAAACTCGATTGTGGACACGACTGTGCGGAGGTATGTGGGAACCTCTGTACAAGGTATTGTAAAGTTCTATGCCTGAAGTCCCTGCCATGCGAACATGAAAAAAATTTGCCATGTTACCAAGACCCCATGCTTTACAAAAAATGCAACAAACGCTGCAGCAAAATCCTGGGATGTGGTCATCCTTGTTCAAAGATATGCTGCGAAATATGCTTTTGCAACACTAAAATTGACCTTGAACTGCCATGCAAACATTCTGTGCGCATTTTATGTTCCAAACAGCATAACCCACCTCGTTGCGTCGAGGATTGCTGTAGAGAATTGCCATGTGGTCATAAGTGTCCTGGTCCTTGTTGTGAAGATTGCAGCCAATATCAGTGCAAAACTCTGGTTGACAAGCTCCTTACCTGTGGGCACAAAAAAAGTATCCCATGCTCTATGAACCCTCACGACGCCAAATGTCAAGAAGCATGCAAAACGAAGTGTTCACGTGGTCACCCATGTCAACAGCAATGTCACTTCGGTTCACCGTGTAAAGATTGCAAGGTTAAAATAGATATGACCATTCCCTCGTGTGGGCACTTCATCGAAATGCCCTGTTTCTGCGATCCAGCTGCTTTGGTCTGTAAAAAGCCATGCGAAAGGCTTCGGCTGTGTGGGCACCCTTGCCGAGACTTCTGTGGTAAAAATTGTGAAATGCGACCGTGCATGAAGCTTGTCCAGAGAAAGTTACCCTGTCGACATTCAATTACATTGGCCTGTCACAAAAATCCTGAAACATATAAATGCAAGGAGAATGTTCTAGTCGATCTGCCATGTGAACACAGAAAGTCGATGAAATGTTATGCTCTCTACGCTGGTATTCAAAATGTGCTGTGCCATGAAAAAGTTGAAAGAAATTTGCCTTGCCGTCACAAAATTGTTCTTTCCTGTCATTCAAATCCTGACATGTACAAGTGCAAAGAAAAAGTCGAAGTCAAACTAAAATGTGGCCATGTCATTGTTGCCACATGCTCGTTTGCCACCGTTGTTGAACAGGAGTTTAAGTGCACAGTTTTGACTAAACGAACATTGCCATGTGAACACGAGGTAAATATTCCCTGTTATACATCTAGCCAGGAATACAGCTGCCAGGAGAGGGTCGACGTAACACTTTCTTGTAAACACAAACAGCACGTCGAGTGTTCAAAACTCACAGATGGGCTTGAGAATGTAAAATGTGAAGAAGTGGTAACAAAAGCACTACCTTGTGGCCATAAAAAAGAGATGCCCTGTTTCACGAGAGCAGAAGAGGTTTCCTGCAACTTGCCATGTAGACGGGTTCTTTCTTGTGAGCATCCTTGCCGTGAAAGATGCAGTGACGACTGCAGTAAGTTTGCGTGTACAGAAAGAGTTCAAAAGAGCTTGGCATGTGGATACCATCAACTCAAATGTCTTTGCTCGGAGGATGTTTCTGAAGTTGATTGTACCCAGAAATGTGAAAGAAAGTTGCCTTGCGGTCATTACTGCAATGGAAAATGTTTTGAAATTTGCGGTAAATACAAATGCGAAGAGATGGTTTTGAAAGAGCTAGATTGTCCTCAAAAACATACCCGTCGAATGCCTTGTCACAGAGACCCGAGAAGTGTTGTATGCTTGAATAAATGCACGAAAAAACTAGATTGTGGTCACCCCTGTGAAGGTGCTTGTGGGAAACCATGCGAAAGTGTAAAGTGTATGAGGGAAATGAAACACACATTTCCATGTAGGCACTCAACAAGGGTGTCCTGTTTCGAGAGAAAAACTGCTATTTGTAGAGCACCTTGTCCGCGTCGAAAGAGTTCCTGTCAGCATCTTTGCAAGGGCTTGTGCGGGAAACCATGTGATTGGTATCCCTGCCAAGAAGTCGTGACCAAACGCCTGCGATGTGGCCACAAGATCAAAATGCACTGTTGCGACAACCCAGAAAAAGTGCTGTGCCCGATGGTATGTGGAAAAATAATGCAATGTGGTCATCAGTGTTCTGGAGTATGTGGCAATTGCCAAAGAAAGCGTTCACACGAAATTTGCACAAACCAATGCAGTCGAGTTTTGGTTTGTTTACACCGTTGCAAAGCCCCTTGCTATTTACCCTGTCCTCCTTGTGTCGGCACATGCAGTCGGATGTGCCCTCACGACAAATGTACACAGCCTTGTTCAACACCATGCGAACCTTGTAGGCAGCCTTGCACATTGAGTTGTCCCCATGGCCGTTGCAATAATCTGTGCGGAGAAGAATGCGAACGCTTTTCATGCAATGCTCCCTGCCCCAAGACGCTTCGGTGTGGCCATCAATGTATTGGTTTGTGTGGAGAAGACTGCCCTACGCTCTGTGCCATTTGCAATGCGAAAAGTCTTTCAATAAAATCAACTGATGGACGTGCTAACAATACAGAAGCTCCAAGATACCTGCAACTCTTCGACTGTGGTCACATCATAAAAGTCAAGGACATGGACGAGTGGATGGTACAACAACTGGGAAACAATGTTCAGCTGATGCGATGTCCTAAATGTTCCACAGTAATTACATTCAGCTACCGTTATGGCCATATTATCAAAAGGACTCTCAAAAACGTCGAGAATGTCAAAGCAAAAATACAAAAGCTTGCATATGATGTTGTCTACTCTATTCAGCACACAAAAAGGGATTTACGTCGCTTAAACTATGATGTGAGGAAGTTGAAGTTTCCGCAAACAGTTTTTCGCCTTTCTCATCCATATCCATGCAGCATGCACGATATGCTTTTGATTTTTACTCTTAAAAATCACTTGACGATTCTTTACCAGGCCCAAGCGACAGAAAGGGTAATAGCTGAAATGCAACAAGCTGATGCCTGCATCAAACAACAGCCTGAGTTGGATCAACAATTAACCATTATCACAGATGCTTTAGGAAAAATCAAAGCGTGTCTTGAGCAACCACAACTGCATTTGAAAATCCTGAGTCGATTGCATGACCAAACAAGAAAGTTTTCTCTGTTCTCTCGTGTTTTAGAGGTCCAAAGTAAGGCCACTCTGCATCAAATTCCTTGGTCGAACGGTGGTACTCATCGGCTGAAAAAAGTACGCGATCGTTTTGAATTGTTTCTCCAGGGTAAGGACGACGCCCTAGATCTTGAATGGTTGAAGAAAATCGTTAGCTTGTTGAGATCAGAGGTGAACCTTCCAGACCTGCCAGCCGAGGAAGCCAAAGACTTCGTCAATTTCCCAGGATATCAAAGGGGAGTCTGGAAACTATGCAAAAAGGGCCATGTGTACTACACAGGACTTCTTGTGCGAGAGGGCAAAGATATCCTCATTGGAAGCGAAGGATGCACCCAGTGCATAGCTAGTGAAAGTGACCAAACCGTATAAAATATTGAATTAAGGGGCTAAGTTTCTAAAAAAACCCGTGGTACTGCGTCGGTGGAAGAGTTTAACAGGGCGTTTCGAACGTTAGCCCTTCTGACGAGGGGCTACAATTTCACAAACGGCAGAAGGATGAAGTTGCCAGCAACCTTTGTTGCTATGAGTGGTCATAAAAGGATAACTAATTTGATGGCGAATCTTTCTACATATGAGAGAGAACAGCCTGGGCCTGATGGTCTAGGTCACCGCTAAGCAAAAAACTTTCAAGGATATAAAACAACTTTTCTACTGAACTGGTTAATACAAAGAGAACCGTAAAATAGTGTGTAATCTGTATCACCTTAAGCGAGGCCAAGATTTTAGAAGCAGTTAAATCAAACACTGGTAGTGTTCTAAGAGGAAGGAATTGAACATTAGGGCATACCGCTCAAACCTGCAGCTAACTGACAAATCGTTGGAAGAGAGAATAGTAAGTTGTTAATAAAGTACATAGAAAAAATTCAAAATAATAATAGTAGCTAGGTCGCAGACAGCATAGTTGGAAGAAAAAAAGAAGTGCAAATCACCTTTTTAATGGGAATTTCCAAATATCACCAATAACAATAGAAATAATTTTAGTTAAGTTTAGTTGAACGAAAAGTAGTACCTGATTGAGAAAATTGGGAACGTAATTTAGCAAGCTCATATTTGAGGTTCCTTCAAGGGCCTCTAAATTTCACAATATTCTTGCCTCAGAATTAGCAGTAGATGTGTGCATGTAAGTCAAAGAATACTCCCATGTCGATTTTACATCGGTTTTATTCTTGTTAGCCACTATGAACTAAATTTTCTAATGTACAGGTTTTGAGTTCATACGATATGAAACATTTTTGGAAAGATCAATCATTTTTCATTTTCTTCTGTAAATTTTTGTAGAGTTTATTACCCTATATAATGATTGAAATTTCCCAGAATTTGTCCTTTTGTAACCAGTAAACGTGTTACATGATGATCCTGTACCTTAGTTATGGATCAATTTATTCAATTCCTTAAGGCTAAAAATTCAAGTCATTGCTTTTTCAAGACTTTCAACCAGCTTCGATGAACATTAAGTGTCATAGGCATCATCTACTTCATTTGAAATAGAAAATCTTGAATATTAAATGCGAAAAATGATAGAGGCTTTCAAATAAAAGCATATTTTACAGTGATACGCTTCTTTGCCCAAATTAATGTCAAAACTTAAGTCTTGTTTGGGGTAATAGGAGAAAGGGATAGCTTTAATAGAGGGTTGACGTCAATGTGTAGCCACCGCTGATATTTATACTTCAAGTATATTCTATTGACCTATAACAGAATTTTGGCTCCTAGAAAACAACACGTGGGAGAAACGAAAAAATTTGAAGGAAATAGTTAGATCGTGATGATCAGGTAAAAATAACTGCTTTGTTTTCCCGCAAAACATTCGTTTGGAATTGAATTCTGGGGTGGCAAATGTGTTATTTAAAAAATGGGTTGTCAACTTGACACTCGGTCTAAAAGCCGTTTGTGATTTATCCTCAATAATATTAAAAAAAAAAGTAACTAAGAAAGTCAAAACATGAGGTATTTGTTTGCAATTAAATCAATCGATGAAACGTTGATTTATTCATTGTCTGAATTATCCTAAACAATTTGTTCTTTAAGAAACGTCGAGCTTAGTTGTGAGTTCTACTACAAATACAATTTCGGTAAGTCTTTGCGTCCATTTAAGTTGGACATTTTTACCGTACTCCGCCAGTCTGGTATTCCGTCAAAGAAACCAGAGGAAATCAATGAATAGACGCCGCATTAAATCCCTTGTGTCTTGATAAAAAGCCTCATTTTACTTCAGCTTTTTGGTGGAAGAAAGACAAGTTTTACAAACGTCATTGCAGCTAACAAACGACAGACTGTCGCAGCTTCATAACAAAAATTTTGAATTAACTTACACTGGCTTTCCTGGTAAATTAATCGTCCATGGAAGTGAATAATACTTTCCTTAAGATTACTGAATTTTTAAAAAAACCGTCGGTATAGTCATTTAACTCGAGTTTTACTGTTATTCATTCAAAAGAGTAAATGAGGCTTTTTTTCGCGCTCGTTAAGAGACGGGTCAAATTGTGACAGGCACTTATGAAACAAATGTTTCAAAGTTTGCTTGGAAGCTTTTTAAATCTTTCCAATCATTCAGACCATTTACTGTTCTAACTAGCCTATCAATAACAAACTCCAACGACTATATTGACAATGGTAGAAATGAAATAGTTATCCGTTAGATCCTGGCCAAATAATTCTTCCAGCTCATCCAAAATTGCCGAACTTGCCGCCATTTTCAGAAAAAGCCAAAGTTTGCTTTGCAAAGTCGGTCCCAGTCGACTGCATCACACCTTTTTGCTCGGACTCGCTCGCTTCATCACCCAACCTCTCTCCGCCCTGATGCAGTTTAAGACCTCACCGTGTAACGGTTTTTGAAGATATCGTGGACAAGCACCAGGTAAGCGCACAATTTACAGAAATATAGTTTATGAAGTATTATTAGGTTGGAAACTCAGGGTACAAATCTTCATATGGGGTTGTGATAAAGGTTCAGAAGAGATTTTCCTGGTGATTTAAAATTAAAAATTTCTAAGGTCGTTGCTTTAAAAAAGGTTTTACGTTGCAACCGTTACATAATTATCTAGCCATGTCGTTATTTCAGTCTTCGACTGAGTTAGCGGACGTTCGCAAGCGGTGTAATACCACTGCGACAAAATTTCTTCACATTCTTGTACTGTGGAATCGGAGCTATGGAGTTCTTTTTCAACGGATAAGCTTGGCAAGATTATTAACTTGTTTACAAACATAAGTGGGCTAGCCCTTTTATGTTTGTAATATTATTACTGTTTATGTTCTTCGACTTTTTCAAACTATTAGGAAACTCCCATGTGAATAGGGTAATTCAGTATTATCAACTGAGTTGATAACGTAAATTGGACACCGCAAAGAATTTAAAAGCTGACGTTTCGAGCGTTAGCCCTCCGTCTGCCCGAAACGTCAGCTTTTAAACTCTTTACAGTGGTCAGTATACGTTATCAACTCAGTTGATAATTTGAAATTACCCTGTTATACTCTTCCACCGTCGTAGCACCACAGTTTCTCTAGAAATTTACCTCCTTTACTCGCATGTAAATACACTGTTCTCTTAAACGTTTCTCTACTCGATCAGAGTATCGTGAAAACATTTCTAAGAAAAATCCGTGCCGTTCAAGTTTCTGTTCATTTTTCAGAAAGACATCGTAACATATATAGTTTATAATCAAGAATTTGAGTGAAGTGAAGGAAGCTGTGTCATTTCTATCTATATTGATTAATTTGAAATCATTTGTTTCTGATAACGGACTTTAACGGTCCAACGATGGAAGCAGCGCGGTGGAATTTCGCTTCCAGAATGACAACCTCGCATGATGGCGCGTTCGTTGTCGTTAGTATTGCGTGACATGATGAGATAGCACTGAAATGCCGAGATGAATGGTCATAATAGAGTCCTTGTGTCTTCAGTTTTGAGCAAAAACATGACCTGTACAGAGGGCAACTCGCTATACACATGGAAAATTGAATATTGTGATGTTGTTTTCCAGATGACCAACGAAACAGGTGGAGAAGGCGATTCATGGAAGATTCATTTCTCATTTACTGGACGCACTTCAAGTGCTCTCCAACAAAATAACAATAACCCTTCGAATAATTACTTCTGGGAGAGTACCACACTAGAGGAAAGCCAGCCAACATCCTACATATACATTTTGACACAAATTTTCCTCCTGAAAGACATTGAAACTTTACGACGCATTGTACTGGACCCGGAAGAGATTAACACGATAGTAAAACATAAGGAAACAGTTTTGGAAAGTCTTCACGATTATGAGCAGCTCGAAGAACTCCAATTATTAACAGATATTAGACAAGTCCCTGATGTGAAATGTAATATCATCGACGGCAAATGTTTTACTGTGGAGCTTCCAATAACAGATCTGATTGACCCGGATAAAAATTTAAGGCGCTTGTTGAGAGATTTGCAGACTTACTCCAAAACTGTCAGTAAAAGTATCACTCGGCAGATTGAAAGTAAAGAAAAGCTATCAACACCATCCTGGGAAATTATCCAGATAGATGGCGACTCTGACTTTTTACGCCACCAAACGGAAAACGAGCTTTCTGAAAATCACGTCGACAAGCAAGACAGATATTCGATAATCCACGATTTGTTCTCTAAAGATGCCGACTGCTACTATGAAGATAGAATCTGTGCTGTTGAGAAGAGAGGGACACCTAGGATGACAGCAGAAGTGGCGGATGCAGATAATACGGATGTTAGCATGACACCAGGCTGTCATCCGAAAATCACGCAATCATCTGTATTCAATACAGAAGTTTGCAACAAAAATTCAAGTGAATTGAGACATAAACGTGTCCTCATTCATGACAGTGACGAGGAATCTGGTTGTGATGAGAATAATAATTCATTTGATTGCATCAAAAAATCAACCAGAAAGAAGCGTGTCCTCCTCTCTGACAGCGAGGAATCAGATAGTGGCAAAAATCATGGTACACATAATAACAAGAAACAGTCAAGAAAGGTTAGGTATAAACGTGTCAGAACTTATGATAGTGATGAGGTGTCTGATGGCGACATATAGATGAATTTTCCTTAACTTAAAAATAATCAAGCAAATTTGGGTAAAAAGCATACCAGTCCACAATTATTTTATGAAAGTTATGAATCTGAAAGATTTATACTGCACATTCCTACATTTATGACAGTGAAAAGGAGTCTGATAGATATATTTTTAATGACAACAAAAATACTATAAGAATGAAGATATAAATGTGCCCAACAAAACACTTTGCAAAGATAGATATTACAACAAGAAACATGACAGGATAGTTACAAAAATATTGGAACTGGGGTAGAAAATGTTTGCGAATCAGAAAAGGAAATGTTAAATAATTAATTTGAAAAGTGTGAAAAAAAGTATTGCAAGAAGAAAAACACACTGTCAAAAACAGTAATGACAACATAAATAGTTTCTCTTTATATTATAATTCTTGGCTTTCCCAAAAAATCTTTCTAATTTGGACTAAATCTTTCCAGCAAAATATGTATAAATACTTTTTAAGAAGTTTAAATATGCTTTTCTTTTTGACCAAAAAAGAATTCAGCTGTTTTTGTAATGAAAAAACAGTTAGCATTTCTGATGATCAGTTTCATCATGCAGTTTGTATTTTCTGTTGAAGACCCGTAGGTGATATGGACAAATCTTGAACAGGCCATTATTGCTTTTTGTTTAAATGGACAGCATCTGTTGGTGGTTTAACACTGTAACAAGATATGCAATTTCTCGCCCTTTGGTCAACATTGAAAATTCATGCAAAAAAGCAACCATCAAACTTTCAAATGGCCAACTTTTCCTCATTGGCCCTAAAAAGAGATATATTCCTGGATCATAAAGTATTCTGATAGTCAGTCATACTCTATACTAAGAGGTATGATTACCCTGTGCATAATGCACTTGCCTTCTGATGCCAATGCCAAGCCTTGTCTCATGGAATTGAGTATGTTGTTATTTCTTTTCCATTATCCAAAACTTTTTATCCAAAGTTCTCTAACTTTTTTTCTTCATTATACGACAACTAAAACTCTGACTTCCAGTTTGACTACAATAGACCAATAGTCGCCAAATAGAGGTCCATCTAATTCAAAATTCTAATTTTTTTCCCCTGAAACATTATCCACATCTTGATAGACAATCCCCTTGACTTGACTAACCACTGTAAAGCTATATGGGATCGTCACTCCACTTGAACAAATTGCCCTTTCAGCCCCATTCACTCTCTCTTGTCATAACCTTGATCATTAGTTAAAGGTGCACTGTTATAGTGAATCAGAATCAAGCCTGTGAGAATGAGAGATGTACCTAACCACCATTGCATGGAAAGTGTCTCGCCAAACAACAGGCAACCAAGCAGCGCCTGTAAGAGACAACCCTACATCAGTGTTTACAGACTCACAGTTCAAATCATTGACTCCTAAATTCCTCTAGTAGGTTTGTTCTGAGTGAAGCTGTACTGAGTCCAAATCCTAAGCACCATTGTTAGACTAATAAGCCTTGTACAAGCTGTTGTTGTCAATCTTAATTAAAATATTGGTAAGCCTGAAGAGTAGCCTAGTGATAGATTCATTAACCCTTTTTATAACAGTTCTTCTATTGCAAATTTAAGGGAGCACAGCATGGCTAACTAGCCAGGCTTGCCTTACTAGCATTACTATAAAAGGTGTGTGCAAAAAGTCAGTATCAAACTTAAAACTAACTTATCAGTAAGAGTAGGTACTTTATCCTTGTTGTTCTTACTAAAAGAAAATGATGAAGTGCTAGAGAGGATATTAACAGATCAGTTAGAATGCAATTAGAGGAGACAGCCAATATTGTTGAAAATGTGGACTTAAAATTACCGCATACATTTACAAGACCACTCCAAACTTATTTCAAGTTATTTGCAAGAAGTTTCTTCTATAATTTTGTCTTGCTTTAAGTTTGATTTTAAACATTCATGTTAGGTTGCAGTTTCCACGATACATTGGCTGCCCATTTATAAAAATGTGGAGACTTATTGGGAATACAAAGTGTTGCTTGAGTGTTCTTCTGCAATTCTCTTTACAATTATAGTAAATTAAATTGTTTCTGGTAGGGGAAACTTATTATCTTTCTATTTCCTTTCCCAGTCAAGTTATACATCCAGTCACCTTGTAAAACTGGTCATTAAAGTTAATTAAAAAAATAAAACAATCAACAACTCTACAAGAATTCAATTGCAGTAAATATGGAAGAAGCCTTCTGCTCAAAACTAACATATTTGTCATCTTTGCTTGTAATGGTTCTTCACATGGCACAATTGATTTTAATCAGTGCTCAACCTTTAAAATGTAATTGGTTCATTTTGTTCAAGTGACCATGGCAACAGCAGTGGTACTAATAAAATTTAAAATGACAATTCAGCTCTTTCTCAACAAATACTTACAGTGCAAATGAAATTTGAGGCTGTATTGGTAACTGTTGCTGTAGCTGAAGAAGATGATGCTCTAAGAGACTTCACAAACAGGGTCCACATCAGGGCATTGAACAGGAAAACCAGAAGAAATGAAGAAGCTCGTGCAAGATTAACCACCTGAAAATCAGTTGAAGATTTTTTCAATTAATGCAGTTGCGAAACTGTTCATATTTCAACAAGTAACTTTTGTAATACTCCTAGAACCTACAGGGGTTAGGAACCTTTTTCACCCTAACATCACTATGCATATTCTTTTCAGTTCTGTTGACTTTATATTTCCTAAGATGCTGACGAGTATAATTTGTTTAATAATCGAGTGCCTCTTTGGTCCATGATCATTTACTTTATTCTTATGAATGTATGATCCAGGGGTTATATTGTAGGGAGAAATTAGATACTGGTCACCCCTAAGAGTTAAATGGTTAAACAGTCATTCCCTTCACCAAGTGATTGACTAAATTTATTAGTCCTGAAAAGGACTGTTGTTGATTTGAGTGACAAACACTGCAGTACCTTGAGCATAATCAATGACTTCAGTGATGACTTCCATTGATAAAACAAATGATACTGTCACCACTAACAGTCCCTCTGTGGACTATAGTTCCCAGACAATCAGAGCATTACTGATAACAGGTTCTTACCAGTCTCTGTCCGCCCTTTTACTACAATATAACCTACTTATATATAACTCTAAAAAAACCTGAAGGGCAGTATAAATTAACAAACTCAAGCAGTGCTTTTTGGCTAGGTTGATTGTGTATTTTTTTTTATATGGTCAATTCTCTTAGTTTTGGCGGTTCATAATAAATTATACTACTGCTAGAGACTATTTCTTTCGATTTCAATGTCGAGCAGCACAAAATACGTATGTACAACGAACGAAATGTAACGTTTCAACTTTTATTACTTTGATCGAGGACACTCCGCAAAAGTTATTCCCGAAAAATCTTCAAGCTACAATGTTTCAAAAATTCCAGGCTGGAGTAAAGCTAAGACTCTTCTTTAAGCCGCAAGCGTGCTTTGTTAAACACGAGAACATAGACCAACCATTTGACAGGCAGATGTGATCGGGGAACCATTCGTGGCACCAACACCAAAGCCTTGAAGTAAAAAATTGCACCAAATTTTCCTCTGAAGTTCTGGAGACATTGCTAGTTTAGCGCAAGTGGACGCCACAGCTGCGCAAAATCCAGCACAAACAGCAGAAACAAACCCCAACATTGCAAACGAAGATATTCCTTTGAGAAGTCGAAATCTTCCAGGCATGAGTCCTAAACCGAGTAGGACTGGGTAATACTCAATTATATCTATATTTGCTTTTAGACTGGTTGCTATGAATGGATTATGAAATTTTTGTTCAGGCTTTCAACCATGAGGAACAAAAGCAGGGGTGGAGGGGGAGGTGTTTTCATGCAGATATATTGTTAAATTGACCTATTGTACATATGTAGTTTGAATTACCAATCATAAAACACAATATTTCTTTGTGATGTAGACAGCATCAGAGACAATGATATTCTTGGCTTTGTAATTCATCTGGGTGTTTTTAGTAACCAAGGCAGATTTTCTCCTCAAAATGTCAATATAATATCAACCAGATAAGAGATGAGAATAAAGAAAAATATGAATTAGGGGATTATTAATTGATCCAATACCAAATTCTCTATACTAATGAGATCTTGGGACTAAAAGAGCTAAATCCACTGTTTGGCCATTCCCTCTATGTATGATTGTACATATGTGTTCCTTGGACTCATAATAATGAATTGATATCACAGACAACACACCTGTGGATTAAAAAATATCCCATTTTCACTAAACAGTTAACTGTCCATCAAAAATGGATAGCTACAAAGCAAACTAGAAAATTTATCTTAATTAATGCAAGTGTCACAAAAATTTGATAGTATATACCTAATTATGAAAATGCCGCAACAGGAGATAACTGACAGACGTTCTAGTTGGTCAGGCTCCCATGCACTCCACTTCAATTGGGTCAACAGGAATAATTGATTGAAGACAAATGTCAACTCAATAAAATATTCCAAAAAAAATTTTAATTTTCTATTCCCAAAAATGTTTCTTTCATTGTAGCATTCCACTATATAAAAGAACAATTTTTGAAACATTCATCCAGGAAAGGTTTTGAGATATACTTCAAACCTTCAAAAAGCCTTTTATACTATCTGAGAGGAGAGAATTCCTAAAAATAAGACAACAAACTATGATGTACATTAACAATCCGTGATAGCAGAAAAGACTTTTAATGCCTAATGTTTTACATCACTGTTACTAAAATTGAAAGGACCTAGTTATTACAACCACATTACATATAAAGGTCAGGTGTTATGATGTGGAGGCAAAATATATCACACAACACATAATGTATACATGTACATTTGATATTTTTTCTTTCCAATTATCACCCCTATTGCTCAAAGATAATAATATCTTTGCCTATGATTGTGACAATGATTCTCCTTTGACATAAATTTCTCCAATTTCTGTGTACCTTGATTCACAAGCTTGAATTGAATAGGAGTAACCAATGATAAGAATATTAACCAAAGATAAACATATGAAACAAGAGTAAGCTTTCCATTTAAATAGATCGAGTCTAATTAATTATCCTGTTCAAAACAGAACGATTAACACCAATGATGAATTTTTGACACATAACACCTTTACCTTGCATTAGAGTCCACAGAATAAAGGTGTTAAAATTTCCAGTTCAGTTTAATTTTTCACACTTTGACAAACATTCATTCCAATGACTTTTGTGAAATACAGTTCATGAGGTCCTCTTGTGAGGAGTTTAAGAAAAAAAAGTTCAACTTTTTTCCACAGATAAAAGGGGTCCTGACTATGTTTTCATAAGTATTGTTAACATACATATTTACAGCTGTAAGGCTTCATAAAACAGACCAGGTTATATAAGCTTGATCTTGGAGTCTCACTGTGATGTCTTTTTCTGTTGTTGTTGGAATACTAATTCAGTGAAATTGGGTTTGTCTCTGAGCAATTTTCAGTTTCACATTGATTTCCACTCCTACAAAGTTCACACTTCCCCGCAGAGGACCTCAAGTCTTTCACAAACTTACATTTCTAGTTACAATATATGATTTCAAAAATAGTTAAGAGACATACTACTGTTTATATATGCAATTAAGAATACTCCAGGGGAGACAAGTTTCTAAAGAAACTGTGTTGTTGCACTGGTGGAGGAATAGCAAGATAAATTGGTTTTATCAACTGAGTTTCGATAATGTCACTTAGCCACTGTAAAGAAAAGAGTTTCTATGCTGATGTTTCCAGGCTTATGAGCCCTTTGTCAGAGTTAAAGATGCTGAAATTCTCTGACGAAGGCCTACTGCTTGAAACTTCCAGCTGAGAAACTTTTTTTATTATCAACTCAGTTGATAAAACCAAATTTTCCCTTCATCAATTAAGAATATTTCAATTCAATAGGGTTTGTATGTAAATTTAAAAAAATGCATTTTGAGAAACAACATACATAAGAACAAAGAACTGCTCAGGATTATATATTACTGTCACATTAAAGAGACTTAAGTAACTCTTGTCATTGATTCAGAAAATATCAACAAAACTAGGCAATAAATTCAAGCTGTGGGTGATATATCAACTACTTTATTGATATCTTTGTTAAGCCAATCTTGTGTGATGTCATCAAGGTGATTGTCAAAATCTATGAGACTCTGATACACTTTTCCTTCTAGAAGTTCAGTGGTGAGTTGCAGTGAATCTTCACCTTCAAGCAATCTGCAATGATACAATTTCCAAACAGTGTAATTGCACAGTCATAACTGTCAAACCACTGACATCATGTACAAAAGTTGAGTACTAAATGTTAAGTTTAGGAAGTAATGACCTTTGTTACACTGTTGCTTAAATCTAACAGCTTTCAATCACTTTTTCAGAGTTAATACATTAGGGAAAATAGGAAAATAAACATCATGGTGTTAGTAATGAGATGTATGTTTGCGATCACTGCTGTTTACATTTGGATGTGAGTTTTAATTTAGAACGTCAGTATTTAGATGGGTGATGCAATAGTCAAATGAAAAGTACACTGGACTCCAAATCAAAATTTCATGTTCACTCCTGACCAGGGTCATTGTGTTGTGTTTGAGAAAGACTTTGCTGTCATAGTGTTTCTCTGCACTCAGGGGAATGGACAGAATTGGGTAGCCTGTGACTAGAAATAAAAAAAAAAAGGGTAACCTGCAATGACCTAGTATCCCAACCAGAAGAACCAGTGTTATTTTAGAAACCATTTAATGGTGGTCATAAAATTTTTTTAGATTTACTATTAATAATTAAGATTCATGGTGCTCTTATCCATCATATTGCCCCACCTTTCTCTCAAAATTTCTTACACTAGATTAGCAATATTGTAGGAGAATAATCAATTCACCCCCAAAAGGAAGTACCATAGTGGAAATTATCTCAAAAGCTTATCATGCTTGGTTTAGATTTAGGGAACTGGGAGCCCTACTCATTTATGCTTCCCTGACAATTCAACAATTCACTGCATTACAGCATAACATTGCAACATCACCCTCTGTAATAGACTCATCATCTTTACCTTCTAGAAATCACGTGAGAAAGGGATACTGATATCATATTGAATGAAGCCAACTGAGTTGAATGGTACTTACAAATCTTTGTCACTTTGTTTCCATTTATTGTCTTGGACCACATAACACTGCAGGATGAAACAAAAGGAAAATAGTTCAGACATAAAACCCTGTGAACAAAAGGTGGAACATACATGTAAGTGTTTTTGTTGCTCAGTTAATAGTAACACCAAAATAGTATCCAGAAGGTTGTTTCAAGTCTGAACTCTTTTCTTAGGTTTTGCTTTTATTGATAGTTTAACTTTTCCTGCGCAGATCAATCCATGCACGTGGTTAGCAGATCTAACATCAGCAACACTGAAAAAGTGTGAGTTTGTTGATTTTGAACATCATAACTTTGAACTGCAGATAAATAAATGAAGATGAGAGTGATCTTTGCAGAAATGAACACTTCTTGGGTAGTAATGAAATTAAAGCTTAAAAAAAATCATGCCTGTACAGGAGTTGAACCCATGACCTCTGCAGTAACAGTGCAGTGCTCTACCAACTGAGCCAACAAGCCAACTGAGAGCTGGTCATTTTGTTGGTTTGCAAAAAATCCTTGAAGTGACAAATGAACAAGTGTGATTATATATGAATATTGTTTATTTGAACTGCCTCACTATTGGCAATGACTTGGATTAATGACTTTCTTGGTCATACCTTCAGGGAATAGTATAATTCAATGAAAATCACACACAAATGTTACAAAGTATGGAACATCTTTACCTTACAAGCTATTTCTTTACATGGTACTGTCAGCTTTGTATTATCTACCTGTATCATACGAAGAAAGTGCAAAATTATAGTGATCATGACAAACATCGCCTTACACAAGAGTTACTTATGCAAATTCTTATTAAGTGATCATTAATTATTAATTAAATATTAATCATCAACACCAATGTGACACAAAAAATAAAATCAGTTGGACATGAATAACATCCACTTACCATTAGCATAAAACCATTGTTAAACTGATCACATATTTTCTCTCCAATCTTGTAACATATTGCATTAGGACTGGGAAGAGATGATGACAAATTTGTATTAGTTGTGTGAACTCTCAGGAAAAATATATAAAACAACAACAAAGAATTTTGCCTTCCTTGGCTATAATTGCTCTGAAACTCAATTGGTAAGGTACTTCAAGGCAAAACTGGAACTGCCTCAATAACATACAAGAAGGACTCATACACCTGTATCTCCTTTCGATCCATCAATAGAAGAAGTGCACAATGATAACTTTTTTTCTCTCATTGAGGTCACCTTTGTAAAGTTTTTCAAATCTCATTTTTGGAAAGGTAAAAAAGATTCTTCATAAACTGCCTGACAATTAACTGTCTGGCAAATAAACTTGTTTTGAAAAAGAAGTGGGCTTAGAAAAATTCTCACATGCACAAAAACTTTTCCACCTCAACCACACCAGCCCTCTCTGTCCATGTTCTTTCCTTTTTTTGTTTGCTCTTTTGTGAGAAGGAAAGCAATGGGAGTAAAAAAAAAATTATAGGGATGGCTTACCCACTGAAGCTCTAAATCTATTGTTTGACTGACTCTATCTCACATGAACACTTTTGACAAAAGCTGATCCTCAAAAGTGTGTTCAAGTTTACAACCCTTTTTTAAATGTGAAACTCATACAAATTTGTTTGTCTAACCCTATCTCACCCAAAGACTTTTGACAAGTCAACAACCCTTTTTCAAATGTAAAACTCATAAAAATTTGATGTTTTTACTGGTAGATTTAACTCACCTATTGTCATTAATATGTTCATTAGCTTGATAATAACCAACTATCTGTAACTCATTCTTTTTACAGTGGATATCAACCTGGACAAGAGAAATAATGATACAATTACTTTACCAACAGCTTTCAAAAGGATGAAAGGATGGGAAGTTTTTCAAGAGTGTTTTTACTGCAATCTTTTCTTCCTTTATCAATTCATTAAGTCAAATATCAAAACATCTTCTGGTCAAGGCAGTCCTGGAAATAACTGTTGATTGTAACTTTGACTGACTAGTGCAATGAATAACAGTTCCCTAAGGAAGCAACTGTCAGAGGATAACCAAACACTCTGAAAATTAATTTGTTCACACCTACCACAGCAATACCAACTTCAATACATGAATAATGTCTTAAATGGAGTGTTTCTCAAAAAGACTACTCAGAATTGTATCACAGTCAAAATGTGACAGAGTTCATCATTTTGTTATACACAATGGCTACATGCCCAGCAGGCAGAGATTAAAGTAAATGAGCTTAACACCTAGCAGGCAGAAATTTTGCATGATTTCCTCTGAGGGTTCTTTCAAATGTCTTTAACCTTTGTACCCAAAGAGTAACTAGGATCTAGTTCCCCTTAATGCTATCACCCCTGAATCAAATGTTTTAGTCACTAACTGATAAAGAAATTCTTCACTTCTCTTTGTCAGCACCTTAGAAGTGTATACAGAACAGTATGGAGAATATGTAGACAGATATGTTGGATGTAACTGTTAAAAGTAGCCTATAGTTCCCTGGACATGTTAAATGATTCCAAAATGTATTTTTCTTTTCTAGTTGACATATCTGAACTCTGAAATTTGCTGAAATTTCAAAATACCAGGAATTTGGTCTGTTTAAGACCATGCCCAGGTGCCAAGTATTTAGCCAAAGCGTTCACCATTTCTGTTTCCATGGATGAATATGAAAATAACTACCATTCTAACATTCAGTGTACTTCAGCATGTCTTTTAAAAATTTTGAAACTAAAAAAAATACTTTTCTAACAGGCAAACGTTTTTCTGATCTAAAATCCATTTTAAATTAAGGAGTGTAAAATATTAAGTTCAATGTCGATGGAAAAAAAAACAGAATTTACATTGAATTGGTTGACATTGAATCGCGAAATTTGAAGTTCAACGGTTCTCCTGTGTGTTCAACACCTGAAATTAATCTTTAATTCAAACCTTAACCAGAAAAGTCAAAAGCTTACAGGTTACACGAGAATAAAAAATTTACTTTAGGAACCCAATCAATTTGGCACCATGAACTCGGGGCACACAAACAATTTTAGGGACTTGTTAGGCTATGAACTGGTCGAAAAACACTTTAAGAATATAAAAAGAACTTCTCTCTACCCTCGCCAAGGCCACTTCCAGCATAGGCGCCAATCCAAGGGTAATATGAAACAAAGGAATAGCATCGAGCGCATAAATTTCACCATCTTTGGGGTTTTCCACGCCTAGAAGAACTCCGTTCACGGCTTTGTGTGGGTATTTAGCGGTATGTAGGAGAATTTTGGCGTAGGCCCTTAGAGATAGTCGAACTTTCATTTTTCTGATGGTAATCTTATGACCTCAAAATCATTATCACAGTTAACAAACTGTTCTTCTGCGACTGTCCGCCATGATGATTCAGGAGTGCGTGGTGCTTAGTAACCGCGTCGCTGTCCATCTTGGTCCCAGGTCTCCTTTTAATTACTAGAAAGAGTCATGTTTCCCTTTTTTTATTCACTTTTTGCCATTGATTATTAGAGGAGTTTGGTGGTTCTTTTCCGGCTGCTATTTATTCTTAATGGTTTTTTCTAGAGTGTAATGGTCATTAGTATAGGTTGCAAGGCAGTCATAAAGGGAAATAGATGAACGAGTAGAGAAGCAAAATGGGGAGAAAATTAAACGAAAAAGTTTGGATAGGTCCATTTCTTACTGGCGTTATCCTTGCCTACGTGTAGCCGTACCCTATCCCCCCATTTGAACCCATTTTACCGTCAATGCCATACATTAGCAAGTACCAGCGAGTTAAACGCAGGCGAGGTAACTCGCTTCCGTTTCAACTTCGGAGAGAGGGTACGGCTACACGTAGGCTAGCGTACTAAGTTAAGAAATTGAAAGCGCTATTATTACAGGAATTAAGACAATGAAGATAGTTTCCACTTGTAACTTAGCCATGCTGCCACTCAAAAAAAAAACTGATCAACAGATCGATGATTTTTGGAGCCGAGGTGTAAAACTTTGAACAACTCAAATGTCAATGACTGTTTACTGTCAATGCTATACATTAGCAAGTACCAGTGAGTTAAACACAGTGACTAACTCAGTCAAACTTGGTTAGATATTCTTTATTGCAGATAAAACATAACATTAATATGTTCTAGGACAATCTTATTGTTAGAGAGGGAGATGTAAACTTAAATGTAATGGCAAAAAAAAGTTGCCTCACACTGAACTTGGACACTACTGTATATAAGAACCTTGACTTAATTCTCAGATAAAATAGATTGCCACCCTTAAGATACGTCAGTTGATGACAACTACGTTTCTTTAATTAACATTGTTGTCAAGTACTCCTCAGTATAATACAATGGGTTGATATTCAAAAGGTAAAGAAGGAAACAATTCTTGAGTTGACAAAGACATTATTGTAGAAAATAACCTACAGCAAGGCAGATGATATACACTGATGAGAATGGACAAATTCAAAAATAACAACAGTGCGTTTAGTTAAAATCTCTTGCATCCTAATAATCAAACAACTAGCCCTTGTCTTCTCTAGCAGAACCTCCTGTAATGTTCTGTTACCAGCCTCTTGTTACTTATTTTTCTTTAAGTGTAACAGGAAAAAAGTTAACAATCTTAGTATTAATTCTCTAAACTTCCCTCCAGGAGTCTGCCTAAGATTGTGACACTAGAATTTACAAACTTATCTGATTACAAAAAACAAAAGTACTGAAAATCAATACATGCTAGAATTTCAAACAAAAAAAAGTGCAAGAACTTATTGTACAACTAACATTACATATCTGTATGCTTCTCAATTGAGAGATTGAACAATAATTTTCATTCTGAAAAGATATTTGAAAGGAAATTTTGAAGTGGATAATAAAGACAAGAAAAACTAAAGAATGATTTAACCTTAACTGAATTTCAATATTCCCAAGAAGAAAGGCATGCTTAAACCTTAAAAACAACTCAAGTTTCTTCCGCCAATATATTTGCAAGAAATTTTGCCCTTCCCTAAAGGTTGATGAACACACCAAGAAAAATTAAACAAGGAGCTGGTAAAAGAAGTTATGTTTTGGGAAGGCCCAATGGGTAGACTTGAGAAAGCCACACCCAGCTAGCTCTCCATCCCACCTTACATAAAATTCATCACTTAACCATTCCACAACATTACTGGTATCAGGCCTCCACTTGCAGTTGTACTAACTATCAATCAAGTTTACTCATCTCCTTGAAACTGAACCAAGCAATTCAATTTGAAGAATTTTGTTTAAGATCTATGGAAAATAAATTGAACAGTTCATTCAGAGCCTTGTGTAACATTTCTTTAACAGCAGCCACCACTGTCTTGAGCACGGCCACCTCCCAAGGGCACAGAGGGATTAGATGGTGAATGCTGAGGGCCAATCTTGATTCCATTTGCCTAAAAGGTAAAAAGGGTCTTTGTCAGGGCCACATATTGCACTCTCTGCTATCATTAGAAAGAACTTAAAAGGTATATTACTTCTCCTACCAGATGGGATAATAATCAAACACACAAAA